AGAGGTCAGTGAAGTTAACGATTAGAACTGGGACCGTGGCTGCTGTTTGTGGAGACAGAGCCACGTGTGTGAGGGTCTCCAGGGGCCTGCTCCCCTCTGTTCCCACCCGGTGAGAGGAGAGACCCTGCAGCTCTGTTCGCAGTGAGCAGACTGGCGGGGGGTGGGCTCCCTGGGCAAGGCTGGCCATCCTGGGAAGAGCAGAACCGAGGCCTGAAATCGCCGCATCCGTCTCAGAAGGACCACCAGGAGCAGGAGCTGATGTGATGTGCGGCCTCTGGGCGGAGCCAGGCCTGTGAGGGGAAACCTCAGGGACTAGCTTTCAGCATGAACTGAGGAAGACCCTCACAGCGGCTGCAGAATCACCGAACAAGATTTGGAAGCTGCGAGCTCCCCGAGAGCAGCCCGCTGGCTCGAGCGAGACCCAGGCAGGGACGGGGCTCCCCAGCGGTCCTCACGGAGGGGTGGCCGCCGCCAAGACCAGCTCCAGGAGTCTGCCTCCCAGTCAGAGCCCTTTCGGTCTGGGTTTGGGATTTTCTTAGGCGGGGCAGGGGTCCTAAAATGCATTAATTGTGTAGCATCTTTGATTTTCATTGAGCCAAGATCATCTTTCGTTTTAAACCCCCGAGTTATACATTGAGTCTGTACGTTTGCAGCAATTAAACTTGAAGGACACACACACCTCTCTTCGTGCAGATCTAGAGCCCACTGAGGACCAGTGGACATTTGGGGATGAGGGGAGTAGAGCCCTGTAGCAGGATGTGGGGACCCAGCTAAAACGGGAGGCTGGCGCCCCTCCAACTGGTCCTCCCGCCGGGCTGGTTGCGGTGCAGGTGGGAGGCAGAATCTCTGTGATTGAAGCTGTTTCCAGCCATCCCATGGATGCTCCCAGGCCCTCGGCCAGTGAATATTTTCAGACGGGCCCTTTTTTTGGCAGTCTGATTTTCACCAATAGGAGCTGTCACCCAGATCAAGACTTGGAGATAAAGAGTGCACTTTTTTAAAGAGAACACTCCTTTCTTGCCCCACAAGGAACCGGTACTGTTCTGCAGGTGAGGGAGCTCTTTGTTTCGCAGTATTTTTAGCCTCTGAGAACAGACAGTGTCAGCTTGAAGGGCCCTCCGTGTAATCCAGTGGTTCTCAACTATGCATCGGGGTCCTTTTAAAAATACTGCCACCCGGGATCCAGCCCCAGGGGTTCTGGTACAGCAGTTCCCCGGGTGACTGAGGAAGGGCTGAGAACCACCGGAACCGCTGCAGTGCAGTTTGCAGATGGAGAAACTGAGGCCCAGAGGAAGAGAATGGTCTGTCCGGGGTGGCACGGTGAGTCAGTGGCACCCTGCCCAGAGCTTGCAGGGCAGGGCGGTCAGCCAGTGACAGGCCCCTCTCCCTCTGCTCGGTAGCCCCCCTGCCGACCCCCAGAGGATCTTTCTATCTGTCCACAAGTGCCCTGGTCCACTGTCAGCAAGGCCAGCCTGTAACTCAGTGAAGCCTTAGCAATGTCTGCACAAGGGAGTTACCAAGCAGCCCAACAGTCGAAAGTTGGAAGTGCCAGGAGCCTGTCATGCTACCACCACCTGGGCCATGGGGAATGGAGGAGCCCAGGGGGCTCCATCCTTCCACCTTCAGACCCCAGAGGGGCCCTGGGCAGGGTGCCAGGGACGAGACTCTGTGCTACCCAGAACATCAGAAGCAAGACTTCAGGTTCTGCTCAGGAACCAACCGGCCAAAGGAACCACAAGGCCGGGGCGCAGCTGGGGCATTGCTCCGACGCGAGGGGCTGCCACCCAGTGCCCTGAGCTCACAGCACGTGCGTGCTGGGAGGGGATCGCAGTGGTCTGGGAAGTCTTCCTGGAAGAGGTGGATAAAGTCTGGACGTGTTGGTTTGGTAGCGGGAAGGGAAAGCCCCCTTCCCAGCAGAGGGACCATTGAGGGGAACCAGCGGCAGTAAGAAAACATAGGGAATGTTTGGGGACCTGGCAAATGGCTCACAGTTACTTTTATCATGACTCAAATAACTTCACTGTCCTGAACAGAAATTGCCTGTCTTCTCCTCTTTGATTCTCCCAGCCACTTTGAAAGTTCCCTGCTCTCGGGGTGCGAGCTGGAAAGGAGATACTGTCCGCAGATGGGAATGATTTTCACCTCCCGGCTAGGGCTGTGTGAGGCTGCAGTCACTGAGCTACAGGGTCAGAGGTTATGAACTTTTGTTCATCTTTATAGATCCAGCCTCCAGCACAGATGTCCAGGCCACCTTGGTCAAGGGCAAGGAAACAACCTAATCTTCCACCAGCTACACTGCTGTTTTTGAGGGGTTCTTTATTATGAACTACCTCGGGCTGGGACTGGTGTGCAATAGGCACTCCGTACATGTGGGCTGAGTGATCGGAAGCCCTGTCCAGTATGGGTGGTGAAAGTGCTCTGAATTCGGAACTGGGGGACCCAAGCTCAGGCGTGCACTTAACCTGTGAGAGGCTCCTCCCTCATCTACGCGCTGGGGTGAGGTATGCCCAACTCAGGTTTGCTATGAGCTTGAAATGCAAGGTGTGAAGTGCCTGTGAGCCTCCAAGCATCGCCCCCAGGGAGAGATTATGGTAATTATGGCCATGGTGGGAAGCTGAGTATTATTTTGATGCCGTGGGACATACATCAGGGCCTGTGAGTCAGAGGGGTGGGCTGTGCGGCTGGGGGCCCCAGGGGGCAGCCACACTACTTCCCGCTCCTGAGGATTTATTCCGATCAGCCTGCATATTTCATGTGCTGCCTCCCCATGCCAAATAAATAAATCAGGGCCTCCTTCTCTGAGGAGCAGGAGCTGACTGGGGCTGAGACTTCAAAAGGCCTGAGCAAGGATGCTGGAGCTCCCAGCAGAGTCTGCTAATGTGACATTTAGGAGCTGGGTGGCCCAGGTAAGCCACAGCCGCCTGCACAGTGTGACGCCCTCCAAATGGTGAGGAGACCTTTGCAGGAGAAGGAAGTGACTTTTACAGCCCTGTTTTCCCCCCCACGGTCAAGGAATGCAGGCGGAAGTGTGGCCGGCCTATGGGATTCCCTGTTCCATCTCCTAAATGTCTTTAAGGGACCAGCAGTGCACCTGCATTTATGCAAAGAAATTCACTTTGGGCCAGAGCCAAGGCAGTTCCTCAGGGCTCATGCTTGGTATTCCCGCTACCATATCGCTTTGTGATCTCTGGGCATTTTGAGGACCAGGGTCTGCAGCTCTGAGGACCCGCCTGCCCTGTGGGTGGGCATTTCTCTCTGCAGCTAATCCCAGCTTCCCTGAGTCTGCTTTATCTATTGTCACCATACCAATGTCCCCCACACGCCAAATCTACCGACCCCCCTGATCAAGGGGCGTGTTGTCCCAGCCTCTCAGCAATGTGACGTTGCTGGCCAGCACTGTGATGAAATTGTCCCTTTCCTTGGCTTCTACAGAGCCCCCTCTCTCCTGGCATCCTGCTTCTGACGTCCTGACCACGTCTTCCCAGTCTCCTCGCAGCGTCCTTGCTCGGCACACCCCACATTGGCACTCTCCAGGATTATGCCCTTGGTCCTCTTCACTTCTCACGCAGCACTGTCCCTCGGGGCGTCCCCCTGCTCCCTGCTCCAACTCCCTCTCCCCCGCCCAGACCTCTCCCCGCTCCAGAGCCGAGGACATCTGCGCCCTGGCAGGCCCCTCTGGCTGAGCACATGCAAACGGCAACTTCCCATCCCTTCCCCTCCTCTGACCCTCTCCTGGGCTCCCCACTTAAGGAATGGCACCTGAGCCCCCAGCCACTTATTTTACTCCCCCACTCCTCATCTTCCCCACCCAGTGATCACCCAGTTGTCCAGACTTTACCTGGAAAAAAAGAAACCTTTGTCGAATCTAATTACTACCCGTCATCCCTCGGGCCACAGCCCCGATCCAGTGCTCATTGTCATTATTCTGCAGTGACCAAAACAGTGACCTAACCAGTGGTTTTCAACCTTCTTATCCCCTGGCACACACACACTAATTACTAAAATTCTGTAGCACACCAAAAAAACGTATTTTTTACCAATCTGACAAAAAAAATAAGTATAATTTTGATTCATTCACACTGAATGGCTGCTGTTGTGTTGGCTGTTGTCATATTTTTTATTTGACAGTCTAAGGGAAAAGAGGTCAGTGCCCCTGACTGAATAGTCAGGTATTGCATGTTTTAAAAATTCTTGCAGCACACCGGTTGAAATCGCTGCCCTAAACCCCCCAACAGAATGGTATCTAGGATGAAGGTAGACTCAAGTGTATCACTTAGGTCTAAAAATATGCCGAGCAAGTACATATGAAGGAAATTTTGTGCTCAGTATGACCCAGCAGAGCAATGTGTCCTCTGAAAGATGCAAATTCCACCTCAGAATGCATCAATAGAAATAAGATGTGTAGAATGAAGGAGGGGATGGTCCCCCCCAATTGCAGCTGACCAGAGAGAGCATGCCTAAAGTGCATTGGTCAGTTCTTGGATCTACATCTATCCGACAGACAGTGGGCGACATTGTGGAGTATGGCCCAAGGAAGGGCCTGGGTGGGGTGGGAAATAGAAATGATGTTCTGTAAGGTGGGGTGGGGATAGTGTCGGGGCGATCTGTCTTTGTCTTCATTCTCTAGGACCGCCTGGGGCAGAGAGAGCAGAGGTAGTCCGTGGTCCTACTGGGCAGACACAAATTATAGGGGAAAAGTCACAGAGAGACCCTTCAGCTCAATGCCAGGAAGGACTCAGTAACAGGCAGAGAATCCAGTTATAAGGGAGTGGGCTCCCCTTCTGCACAGCAAAGGACAGATGACCAGTTGACAAGATGGTGTGAAAGCGTGTTCGTTCCAGCCCAGATCTGGTTGGAAGTTTTGTGCGTCTACCTGGGGAAAGGAAAAGCCTGCAAGAACGTGGCCAGGGCCCGCGGGGAGGGCGGGAGCTGGGAGAGGAGCACCCAGCCTTGCGCACAGGACTCGGATCTAACCATCCGCTGTCTGTTGCTCCCCACAGATAGGAGGGAGGTGAAAGTGGGAGAATACAACGCAGTGGCCGACACCCTGGAGATCATCAATGACACCATCAGGTTCCAAGGTAAGGCAGGTGGGCTTCTTGAAGGCACGTGGGCTTCGGGGGGGGGGGGGGGTCTGCTCCATTGCCTCCCAAGCCTTGATATTATCTGAGGACTGGGGACAAGCTCAGAGTCCTTGGCTTTGTGGGGAAGAGGCAACATCCTCTCCTGTCAACACAGTACTCACTGAGCACAGGGTCCCCATCGTTCACGTGGTCCCCATCATCCATGTGAGAGCTGGATTCCCCTCTGGGGAAGGGTCACTGGCACTGTGCGCGTGCTGGCTTTCAGAGCGGCGTCTGTGTTTAAACCAGAGGTGCCAGGAGTGATTCTTTTTCCGTGTGGTCCAGCTAAATCTAGCTCTGTCTTTCCCTCTGGGAAAGGACTTGGTTGGGTTGTAAGAAGACCTCTCCACATGCTGCTCTTCCTGGAGGACCATTCCCTCTTTCATTCTGTGGAGAACTCCTCCTCGGCTTCTAGAACCAGAGCAAGTAACAGCTCTTCTGTGTAGCCTTCTCTGATTGCCCCCAGCTGAGCGAAGGCCCCCTGCCCTTGGCTTTCATAATGTTTTGCCTCTGCCTTTATCATGGTCACTGTCACTTTGTTTAGAAATTTCTAGATTGTTGGACCATGAGCTCCTTTACTGGATCCTATTTGGCTTTAAATTCCCAGCATCAGCCAGGATTTGGCACATGTTTGAGACTCAGTGATATTTTATAAAAAAATGAATGTATGATTGATCAAGTGAGTGGATGACTCAGTGGGTGAATAAATGAATGAACAGGTGAATATATGAGTCACTGAACTAGTGTGTAGATGGACGAATGAGTGTGTGGATGGATAGGTAGATGGGTGGGTGGATGGATAGATGGGTGGGTGGATGGATAGATGGGTGGGTGGATGGATAGGTGGGTGGGTGGATGGATAGATGGGTGGGTGGATGGATAGATGGGTGGGTGGATGGGCGTAACCAGTCTTAACCCCTCCAAGCCATTTTGCCCTGAACAGCCAAAGTACCCTTGCCACCATGTCATGCTCAAGATGCCTCACCTCTGCTCAGAGCCCTTCATGGTGCCCACTGATCACAACAAGGGGCCTTACTCCACGGTGTGACCCCCAGGGCCTCCAGAAGGGACCCCTCCCCCTGCCCTCTCTCTCAGATCTCTCCAACCCAACTGCTCACAGCTCCTCACACAGGCCAGAACACCACCAGCCTTTGCCTCTGCTGGGCTCTCTGCCCAGAATGCCCCTTCCTCCTTGTCTTCCTGGTGAGCACCAACTACTCATCTTCCTTTCCGTAGCCTTTCCTGACTCCCTCAGGCAGCACTACTTCCTGCTTCCTGCTTCCTGCTTCCTGCTTCCTGCTTCCTGCACAGGCCTCCCTGTGCTGTTATTATCAGCCACCTAGTTGCTGTCATTGGAGGCCATTGGCATAGTGTTAAGAATACAGGCTTCAGAGTTAGGCGGGCCTGGGTTCAAATCCTGCCAGCTCTGTCACTTACTAGCTATAAAAACTACCTAACACCTAGAAAATGGTTATTGGCCCTCACTCCACCCACAAAAATGGGAGTAATCTTTTCTACCCATGAGATTGTTGGGTGGACCAAATGAAAAAAAATCTATAAAGTGCTTAGCCCATGGTAAGCATTCAATAATTATTATTGTTACTTATCATTTCCTTTTTCTTTTTACATGACTAATGTGTAAATTCCTTGAGGACAGGGACTGTGTCTTGTTTATCTTTGAATCGCTGGTACCCAGCTCTGGGCCTGATAGGTAGAAGGTGATTATTAATGATGTTGACCATCATTAATGATGATGAATGAAGGAGTAGTGATGGATGAAAGAATGATGGAAAATGGATGAGTAATGAATGGATGGACTGGACGAGGAACAAGAAAGATCATGTCTCAGTTAAGATGCATGTGGGGAGGCACCATTTCGGGGGAAGGGAAGGAGGAGGAGCTGCTGTCAATTTTCTGAAGTTGTTTCTACACAAACAACTAGTGGTCTCAGTCATCAGATGACATTTGATCTGGACCTTGCCCCTTTCTCGGTGCCCAGAGGCGTTTGGGAGCCAGAAGCCACCTGAGCCAGCCTGATGCAGCCCAGGCTACAGGTGGGGGAGGAAATCGGGGAGCAGGGGAGGAAGTTTCCAGATGTTGAGCTTTCACTGGAAGCAAGAAATGGTGTCACCTCCGTCACCTGTGTCTGCTTTTGCCCTGACTGCAGTCCTTGAGGCCACTCCCGAGAAAAGCCTCTCTACTTGGAATCACTTAGCGCTTCGCATGAGCCACGCCAGCAGGTTCCAAACCCGGCGACTTCCCTGGATGGTTTAGGTGGCTCAGGCGCCTCTTATCCGCTGCATGTTCCCAAACACATTTGAATTTGCTGTCAGAATGTTTTAAACACGGATGTTCCGGGGAGCTTTCAACCTCTGCAGCATCTACCCATCCTCTGTCTGTCTCCTGGGAAGGGAGGCATAATGGAGCCTGGCATTCATGGCACTGCCGCGGGGTGGGGGGTTCATCCTGACCCCTGGTGGGTCTCCCCAGGCCCCCAGGTCCAGCCACTCCCAGGCACCTGCTGATCCCACACATTCCTCCTGGAGGGGAAAGCCCAGCATGTCACAGTTCTACAGCAGAAACCTGACTGCAACAGCAGCTGAGAGAGAGGACTTGCAAGAAGTGGGGTGGGGGTGAGGGTGTCCTCCCAAAACTACAACAGGACAATTGTGCCACCTTTTATAAAGAAGAGTCTGCTCTGCGTCCCTCGGGGCTCCCCCAGCTCCCTGGTGCCCTTGAAGAATGAGCAAGGACAGTTCCGCATCACACAGAGATGGAGTCCCGCAGTTTCGGTCCAGTCCTGGCACAGTAGGGAGGGGAAGGCATGCAGGTAGCTTCTGCCTCCCACAGGTAGCGAGTCCTATGAAAATGGAAATCCAGAAAGAGCTTTTATAACATAATGACCTTGAGGCAGAAAATCCACAGCCAGAGCACATACACATCTCCGTGGAATCGACAGGCAAGGCGTCCTCCCTGTCGCGGGGTGGTCATTATCGTGTGTTGGCACAGAGTCTTTGAAAGCCAAAGCCACCTTCCTCACCCCCAGTGACACCCAGAGGTACCCACTCAGCATCCAGCCCTGCACCTTCCAAGCCTCTGTTACCTTGGGAGATAAATGGCAATGGTTTTTCAACAGGGTAATTAGACCAAATCAAATTCTAGTCTTCTAATGGCTATTAAATGCATCACAAATCCCTTATTGATTTTCTTTAGAGAAAGAAATAAGTCCTGGCTAAGGCTCCCTGCTGGGCAGGCTGACCAAGCACCAGAGCCCACTCGCCCGGTAAACGTGTCCTGCACAGAGTTTGTGCACAGGTGGCAGATGACGAGGACATCCAGGCAGAGATGCTCGCAGATACTGACTGCACTGGGCCCCGCTGATGTCTTTTCCTTGGCCTTCTAGGATCCGAACCCCCAAAAGACAAGACCATCATCCTGGAGCAGCTCCGGAAGATCTCCCTACCTCTCTACAGCATCCTCTCTGCCCTCACCATCCTGGGGATGATCATGGCCAGCGCTTTTCTCTTCTTCAACATCAAGAACCGGAATCAGAAGTAAGTCGCGCACGCCCTCCTCTGGGAGCACGCCTTCTGGATGGAGAGACCCTGGACAAAGTGTGGGAGCATCCCGTGACGGCTTCTCCAGGCCACAGGAGCGTTCAGGGCAGTTGCCTAAAGTGGCCGTTCAGTCGCTCAGAAGTTATTAGATGTTTCGTGAGCAAGTGTGCACACTCACGCACATGCACATGCACACACACACAGGAGCCCCTGGTCAGATAAGTTTGGGGAAGGTGGGGTTAAATAAAACGGAAGGATCTAAGTCCACGGGCCGTCTCGGAGCTTTGGCCCTGCTGGTGCACTGTGTGGTGGTCCAGGGAGAAAGCTAGAAGACAGCATTCCCCAGTGTCTTTGCCCCACGCGCAGCATCTTGGGGAAGCACTGTCAGGGGTGGGGCGTCACTGAGTTCAGGGCGGGCACTTCCCATTGGGTACAGTCCTTTGCTGCCCAGGAAGCCCCTCCCTGGGTGACCAGTGAGGGCGCTGAAGCTCAGTGACGAGGCCGCTGTCCAAGGCCACGCCGCTGCATGTGGCAGAGCCCATCCCCTTGGTTTCAGGTCTTCGGTTCTGTTCCCTCACACCTGCCCCGCACTCTGCAGAGGAGAACTGCTCGCTTTCTGAGTCACTCTGGTCAGCTACGGGTGGAACAGGCCACCACCCCAGGTGGCAGTGTTTACTCAGCACAGGCCGCTTCTTTGGTTTCCAAAGCAGGTTTCTGATCCCAGCTCCTTGCCTTGTGGCAGAGGCTGAGCAGGGGCTCAGAGCAGGACCTTCTCAGTCACAGGCCCAGTGCCCACCCTTGGGCAGCTCTGCTCTGCCATCGTTCGTGCCCAGAAGCCACGCCGCGTGACCTCCAGGGCTGCCAGGAACAAGCCCAGTGCCAGGGGAACAGGTGTTTTTCTTCTCTGTGTTTGCAAAGGAATAACCTCCAAACCTAGATTCGTTGTTGTTGTTGTTGTTGTTGTTGTTGTTGTTGTTGTTGTTGGAGCGTTTGGTAGCAAGCGCTTAGGCCAAACATGTTTCCTGAAGAACAAAAAGGAGTTTTATTCACCTGTTGTTTTATTTTATTTATCACCAATAACACACGCACTGCCACTCAAAAAAATTGAAGCAACTTTTGTGTACTCTGTACAAACCTTAAATGCTGAGCGTTTATCAGGAGGCCTGGGCACACAGGTCTTAATTAACAAGAGCCCCTTCCTACAGGCTTCAAGAAAGCCTGTCACAATGGTGAGATGCCCCTGTCCTAAGGCCAAACCACTTTGATTCCTCAACTACCCCGTCTTGGCCTCCTGGGGAAAAGTATCCTTACTCTTTCCAATAGGCTGACATCCATGAGAGTCTTCTGACTGGCTTTGCAGATATAAAAATTTGCAAAGAGATAGGGAAAAAATTTCACTACAGTTCCAAATCCCCCTCACTTCTGTCTACCTCAATGCTACCCATTCGTTAAGGTCTCCTCCTCCGGGAAGCCTGCCCAACTCCGGCCTCTCCCCTCCCCGGCTCCCTGTGATAATAAGAATGAAGGTGCCTTCGCAGTTCATGGTTTGCAAAAGAACCTCCAGCGACCCAGTCTCATCTCAGCTTCACATGCGCCCTCGGCAGTGTGAGCTGTGCTTTTATAGGTGACGAAAGTCAGCCAACTAATTGCCTTGCCAGCGGTGCACCTCTGTGGGTGGCAGGCACCACGCGCGGGACCCACTGCTCCCAACTCGAAAGACCATGTAAATGGTCCACAATTTACAGCAGGCTTTTTCTCTCCCTTCCACTTTGAGACCACATTACACTTTTTAAATGTGGAAGGATTAGTAGAAGTACATACTGCCAAGGAAAATGTTCAGGGAACAATTGATCATAATTACAGTCTGCAAAAGAACACCTGGATCATGGTGCACCTGAAAACCCAAGACGTTCTGAGGGGATTGTGCTGGGGAGCCAGGCACCTCTGAGGCTGAGCTCCTGCCAGCTGATGGTTTAACCCAGTCCTGGGTTGCTGGGCAGCTGGGAGTTACAGCAGAATTCCTGAAGGAACTGAAGGAGAAGAATGTAGAGTCTGAGAGTACAAACACTGCCCCAACCGCAGCCTGATGCAGACTGGGATGGGAGGTGGGAATAAGGACTCCATTGTCCCCCTCCATTACCTGGTGAGGGGAGGTGTTCCCACCCACATGTGTGGCTCTCTTTGTGCACGGGACAGTGTGAGCTGCAGGCAGCCAGAGGGGGCGCTCACTCTCTGCTGGTGACCACTGCTCCTGAGCAGCCTGAGTTCTCAGCTATAGGCTCCTAGACCTGGTCTGCTCAGCATGGGCAGTGTGGTAAGGCACCCCCTCACCGTGGATGGTTGCTGGGCATAAATGCAGAGAAGTCTCTAGATTTGGCATGTCTTCCCAGCCCCAGCCACAGAAACCTGTTGGCTTAATGTTTTTGTGTAACTAGAAATTAGTGGTTGAAGAATCTGATGCTACAACCTACCCCTAGAGCAGCAGTGGTAGGTGAACTTGACCGAGGAAGTGGAAAAATCAACAACTAGGAGTTGATAACTGTCCGGGGTCCTTTAGTGAGGGTGAAACAGCTCCTAACTGGTGGCAGTCTTGGGAGGGGCCGGTGGGGGAGACCAGGGCTTACAGTTTTTCCTCCCCTCTCGCCTTCGCAACAGTGAACACAGTCAAAATATTTGTCCAAGAAATAACTCCATTACCAGTTCTGTTAACTAGTCTCTCCTCCTCTTGTCAGGCTGATAAAGATGTCAAGTCCGTACATGAACAACCTCATCATCCTGGGAGGAATGCTGTCCTATGCGTCCATCTTTCTCTTCGGCCTCGATGGATCCTTTGTCTCGGAGAAGACCTTTGAAACACTTTGCACGGTAAGTCGTTCTGCTTGTCCCAGTGGAACATGACCTAAGGTTTTCTTGGTGACCTTGATCATCAAAAACACACATGCAAACCCAGTAATGCATGAAAATACATGAACAGGCAGGAGACAGCCCACTGAGCTGTTCACACAATTCAACAAGGAAGTAGGTTGTTGCTTTCAGACCAGAATGGACTTAAATGTCGCCTATAAAATTTAGATTAGGGATTTGACAGGCCACTGCTAGACGACAGCCCACTGAGGAATGGCTGGATAACCTAGAAAAGCGAGGGAAAAAAATTACCACCCAGAAAAGCATCCACACCGGGGCTCAGGGTCAGGTCCCTTTAAGAAGGAACAAATCTACCCATTTACCCCAATAACCATCACAGGCTCTAAGGAGAGAAGTCTGTGTAGATAACTTTGAGTCATATAGCAAGGAGCATAGTCATTATTCTCAACTTAAGTAGTGTTTCTTAAGCATTGTTTCCTAAACACCCCCCACCCCGCCAAGGAGCCTTTTTAGACTTTTTTCTAACCGCCCCCCATGAAAATTTAATACCAAAGACATATGTACCATATGTACATCTTTCGTTTCTACATAAAAGAGTAATATTTTCCCACCAGAGTGGCTCAGTTGGTTGAGCGTCATCCCGTGCACTGAAAGGTCGCCGGTCTGATCCCAGGTCAGGGCACCTGCCTGGACTGTGGGTGTCATCTCCTGTCAGGGAGCCTACAGAAGGCAGCCTATAGCTGTTTCTCTCTCACATCAATGTCTCTCTCTCCCTCCCTCCCTCATCCTCTTCTTCTCTCTAAGCATGGCCTCTAGTGAGGATTTTTAAAAAAGGGTAATATTTTTTCGCTTCTAAGACCCACTGTTGGTCCCCTTGAGAACTATATCACCACCAATGAAAATGCATGTGTTTAAGGAAGCCCAAAACAGTGTAACTTATCTACTGTGTTTTAGGAATATTATTTTGAAAATTAATCAATATGTTAAGTTGTTGTTGCCAATTGTTATTTGAAGGAGTTTATACATTGGCCGTTGGCAGTTGTGTAGCACTAGCTCTGGTGGAAGGTATCATCAGCTTACTTTTTAAGATGAGGATGACCTGTTGAGATTTATGTCTGGACCTTGACTACTGTGAGCTCACAAAAACTGGGTTAGCCGTTTGGGGGTCTCTCTCTGTTGTCCCCAGTGCAATAAGTCATCCATTCTCTGTCTGGAAGATCAGAGCTAGATGGAATGGTCAAAGATTGGTGCTAACAAAAAGTAATCCGAAAGCAAGTCTTTTGTTGTTAAGAGCAGTGTCGACCCCTTTTGGCATAGCAGACTCTTTTAGGTTAATTGCTGCTCCAAAGTCTCAGTATCGCCCACTATTGGACGATGATGGATTGACAGTTGTCAGGGAGGGAAGAGCAGGCAGAGGACCCCTGAGACTTGCTGCAGGTCACCACCACCCACCTTGGACTTTCTGGGCTGCATTGGATCCCCGTGCTCTGAGACAGCAGATAGAAAGGAGGGAAACCCCTGGGATTTTATGTTGCAGAAATGAGGCTCCCCTGATTTCTGCAGATTTTTAGATTGGACGGACTCTTACATGGAGTCAATAAATTGTTAATGTTACCAGGAACTTCAGTGTGAATTGTTTAGCAATTGAGATAGAACCTTCCGAACACACTTACTTTGTTCTAAAGGTTTCATTTGAGAAGTGGGTGGTCTTGTCCCTGATACCCCAGGTGGGTGGTGAGTCAAAGGGGTGCTCAGGCATCGATTCTGGGTGGACCAGCGGGCAGTCCGACCCCAAGTCCTGCGGGGCTCACTGAGTTCAAGCTTCCTATCCAAGTGTTTTATCCAAGCCCAGCATGCCCCCTCTGCTTTATCCTGTCTTTCTGGGGGTTAAGAAGGTGAACTCAGGAGTCACAGGTCCCCCATGTGTTCTGACTGAGCTGCTCAGAAGTCCTTGTGGCTGTGAATTAGTGGTTTTTCCCTCAAGAGTCCTCGTGGCCAAGGATGATGACTTCGGTATGCGGAAGTCTTGCTCATTTTAGGGAAGGTACGAAGCCCATGAAGTCTCCTACATTTCTGCTTCAGCACGATTCTGTGCCCTGGGGCGCCTTGCCATTTCCTGGGTGCCATGTGCGTCTGTGGGCAGCTCTCCTGGGCACTGGTGAGGCCTGAGCAAGGCACTGCTCCTGAGGCTCCCTGAAGAAGCTAAGTTAGAAGAACAAGGCTCTCTCCTTCCCTCTGTGCTCGGGACACCCTCCCTAAGCCTGAGGAGACCTTAAGGAAAGTTCTCCCCGGGGACTAGTTTGGTGACTTTTAATTTGCACTGTGCTCTGATCCCTCCATGAGTCCCTGAGAGCTGAGGGACCTGCCTTAGTCTCCCAGAGGAGGACGGGGCAGCAGAACTCTGCTCTGTTCCTCCCAGGGCCACTGTGCCCGGGTCCTCATCACTCACTGCCCGCCACCCGGGAACACGTTCACTGGCCGGAGTTTGAGTGTCCGGTGCAGAGACGTGAGGCCCAGCCCTCGGGGAGTCTCTCCCTCCTGGAAAGAAGCTCCCGACATACCTTCCTGCTCACAAGTGCAGGTGCTACCCGGGGTCTGACCCGCATCCCTCAAACACTGGCTGACGCGGGCTAGGGAGCAAAGAGGGGTTTCTTCTTTTAATGAAGCCTGACATTCTATTCTGGGAGTCGCGCTCATCTGTACGAGGGGAAGGTTGTCCTGGGAAGCCTAGCAAGGCGGCATGAATAAACCATAAAGTGCTTCACTAATCAGCATTAGCTCCGCACACGAGGGCCCTGGGAGGAGAGCAGGGCCCGCTTCTCACCACCCTGAGGACTCATTTATTTGCAGTCAGGGCTGTTTCAGAGGCTCTGCAGAGGGGAGCCCACATTTATGACTGTGGGGAAAAGTCACCGATTAAAGACTCTGGATTGAATTGGGTCATCTCTTTAATAATGCCATTGTTGCCCAGGAAGGGCAATGGAAAGCTCTGGAGTTTAGAGCCCAAACATCAGGACACGATGGGTGCAGTTTGGGATGTGCCCACCTACTGTTCCAGGGTTGGCTCCTCTACTTCCCTTGCTGCCTGGGTCTCTGTTCTCCCCAGACCTAGAAGGCTGCCCCAGTCGACTCCCACCAACGGGGAGAAGGGGTAGAAGCCCACCTGACACAGTGAGCACTGATCGCAAACAGCAGCCCGGGTTTCATTGCCTCCTCTGACACCTGTTAGCTCCAGCTGCAGCCCGTGATGCAGCATCTCTGCGCCTCGGCGTTGTCATCTGTAAAATGAGTTTAACAAATGCAGGGTCATGTGTGGGTGCCTAAATGTAAGTTGACTATGGGGAGGGGAGAGAGGGGGAAGGGTAGGCATCTTTCTCCCCGTCACAGCAGTTTCCTGGAGTCCCACAAGGTAGACCATGGAGCCAGCCTCGGAGGTGGAGCATTGTAAGTCACAGCTCGGTCTGCTCTGCCATAGGCGTGCCACCTTTTAAAAAGCGTTCTCTATAGAAAATGAACACGAAGATAAACCATGAACATCACCTCGGGCAGAAACCTATGACAGTCACATGGTGATACCTCTCTCGAGGCTGTGCCTCTGCTCGGAAGGGCCATTTTAACTTGGACTGGGGCTGGGGAATGTGTCAGTGCACGCACACACACACACACACGCACACACACACACACGCGCACACACACGCACACACACGCACGCACACACACACAGAGCTATCTCTGGGGGTGCAGTAACAGTTAGTTCCCATCCCCTGCTTCTTCTGACCCTTTCCGGAATCTTCCCAGCCTGGTTTCAGCAAGTCTTGCAAATAGCTCCAGCTACACCGTGCTGTCTCCCTGGACACTGTGTGGGTAGTGGAATCACCATAGCAACATGGCCCCTGTGGGCACAGAGCTTCCTATGAGGACAGTGCTGGGTGTGAGCCAGAGCCCAGGTGCCAGGGGGTGGGAAGGCCCAGCACAGCTTACACACTGGCCTGGCTCTGGAACCCCAGCCCCTGGCAGCCCGGAGAGGGAGCAAGGTGGGCAGGGAAGAGGAAAGGCACCCATCTGCCTTGTGGAATTGGGCAGAAAGCCCGGGATGGGCGCGCAGGGTGCGGAGGGACTCTGCAGTGAGCATGAGGAGACAGGTGGGCCGTGGATTCCAGCGGAGGCGTGCTCAGCAGCCTCAGGCATCTCAGGACATTGCTGGCGGCGGTGCCACGTTAGTGCCTGAGCCCGTGCCCTCGTGAAATCCAGTGCCCTTGGCTGTGATGACTGAGGCCAGTGTGCCACCAGGTGCGGCCTTTTCTTCCAGTCCCCACAGCCGCCTGACAAGCCCAGGCCACTGTCCCCACTTTACCGGAGAGAAAACCAGAACTCTGTCCTCCGTGGCCATGGGGCAGGGTTGAAGTTTGGAACGAGCTCTGAGACTCCAGAGACATCCGAGCCCCGGCTGGTGTGGCTCAACGGTTGGAGTGTCGGCCCACGCACCAGAAGGTCGCAGGCCTGATTCCTGGTCAAGGGCACATACGTGGGTTGCAGTTCCATCCCCAACCTGGGTCAGGGTGCATGTGGAAGCAACCAACTGAAGTGTCTCTGTCACATCGATGTTTCTCTCTCTCCTTCTTTCCCTCTCTCCCTCCTCCTTCCTTCCACTCTCTCTAAAAATCAGTGGAAAAAATATCCTCAGGTGAGGATTAACAACCACAAAAAAAGACATCTGAGACATTTCATTCGTCTTTTTTTTTTTTTTTTTTTTAAAGAAAACAATACTTTTTAAAGCTGATTTATACCAGGAGAAACAGATCAGCTAAATTCTTAGGGTTATATTGCAACCAAAATTTTCATCCATTCAGATTTTTTAAAATTGAGATAGAATTTTTTTTTTATTCTCACCCGAGGACACTTTTTGATATTTTGTTCAGATAGAGTGGGAGGGAGAGAGAAAGAGAAACATCGACATGAAAGGGACACATCGAGTGGCTGCCACCCACACGACCCAACCA